GTAATATTATACAGACAGGTAAACAATAAACCGCATGTACAAATCAAACCCACCAAGGATCATTTAAAAAGCTATGCAGCTTATCGAGGCATGACCCTGAAAAAATCTATGACAGAAGTTGCGAGATAATATCCGACTTGATGATTCAAAAAAATAAATCTAAAAGATCTCCATTATCTTTAACAAACAATGAAAACAAGTTTTTGAAATACCCATTTAGATGATGCTCAGTTAATTGGTTCAGATTATCTGGTACCAGCTCGTTTGATTTCAATAACTTATAACATTTAAGAGACACATTTTTCCATGAACACTGCTTTATTTGTGTTCTAGTTTTCACGCTTGGTAAAGTTTTTGCCACAGAGCCCCGAGTAACCCGACGATTATTTGGAGATTCCAAATTGAAAGTTTCAAGGGGAGTTTTACCACGAAGTTGATTAAAAGTTTCATTGAATGATTGTCTGAAATATGAGTCAAAAACGGTTTCAATCTCGAACGATTGTAGGATATATGGGGCATGATCTCTTGAAACAAATATTTTTAAAAATACGTTTTGCTTAACAAATATTTTTTCTAATAGGCTTTTTGATGTTGCACCAAATGCAATTAAACCGTACGAATTGATCGGCTTTGCATAGCAGTTATAAAATTTAACCAGCACATTTTTCGAGAAATAGTTTCTACGCTTGAATAGTTAAGCTAATTTACCACAAACATTATTAGTATTGCTTTCAAAGTTGAGTCTGTTGTCCATTTGAATTCCTAATTACCTAAAATCTGAAACCTCGGCGAGTACGTTACTCCCAAAAGATAATTTTTCATTTAAGTTATCCCGTCCAAACCTCATTATTTTGCACTTCTTTTGATTTATAAGCAGTTTGTTATTGTTGCAACAATTACAAATTTTTTTTAATTCTGTCTTGAATTTCGTTTTGGATGCAAATTTTTGAGCATCAACTACCGTTGTATCATCTGCAAATAATGTTTGTTGAACGTTGCTGGCCGACGACATATCATGTATGTATAAAAGTAACAGAAATGGCCCCAAAACTGAACCTTGAGGAACACCTTTTGTACATGCTCGCATCTTCGCGACCGATTGATTCGATTAAACATACTGATTTTTCCCTGTAAGATAGTTTGTCATTAACTTGTGAATTTCCCCTCTGAACCCATATTGATAAAGTTTGTCAAGCAAACTTTTCCGATCAACTGTATCAAACAATTTTTTAAAAATCAATAAAGCAAGAGTAACCAAATTTTTATTATCAATTGATTCGCGAAAAAAGTCAGTAATGGACAAAATGGCATGATATAGTAATGATTACAGTACAGTAATGATTACTTCGAAAACCAAACTGATGCTTATCAATCAAGCTGTTTTTAGCGGCAAAATTGGATATGCGCTCGAAAATTGTTTTTCGAAAAGTTTACTTATACAAGACAACAAACTAATTGGATGGTAGTTATCGGGTTTATTTTTGTCGCCATTTTTATGCAATAGTAAAATTTTTGCAATTTTGAGAAAATTAGGAAAACGCTCTTTTTTGAAGCAGTTATTTAAAAAATGCGCTAAATGGTCAGAAATTTTAAGCATTTTACTACATATCCCATCATGACCAGTAGACTTTTTTTTGTTCAAGTTTTCAGTTTCTTTTAGTGTCTCATATCATATCGATTGGTATCATATATAACGAACGTGTTTTTATTAACTGGAAAATTTGATCTGTACAGGTTTTGTTTCAAGTTTTCTGTTAGTTTTTCTCCAATAGTAGCAAAGTGTTCATTGAAAACATTAAAGTCGAACGAAGCACAATTCACTTTTTTACCACAGAAATGATTAAAAGCATCAAAAATTCCGGCGAGTTCTTCGTCCTCGTTATCATGTTATCATAGTACCTGCGTTTACTCTCCCTTATAGCCTTAATAACATTGTTCCTACATGAGGTGAAATTATTTCTGTTTTCAATGGATGGTGTCTGAACCCACTTTTTGTATAACACATTTTGGTTATTCATCATTCTCCTAATTTTCAGATTAATCCATGGGTGGTTGTTTTTATTCTATTTTCGGATTTTTTTGGGCAATACTTTGAAAATTCATTAAACAAGATGGGTCATTTCAATGATGTTAAGGTTAGAATCATCATCATCAATTTTGTTCAATCGATTATTTAGCGAAAACAAAATATTGAAACAATAATCATCATTTAGTAGTTAATCATAGTTGAAATCCGATTGATAAGAATCGACGTTTTGCTTTTCTGAAGTAAATTTTAGGTCATACTTAAGTCCATAATGGTCACTAATAGTACTATTTACTGTTGTTACCTGAGTTTTCTCCGCCGCAATTATATGGTCAATGCATGTGCTTGATATATTAGTTACTCTAGTTGGCTCGACATTTTGAATTTCTAAATCAAACGCAGAAGAATTTTATAGTCAATAAAGTTGCGCTGGCTACCTATAATATCAACATTCAAATCACCCATTAGGAAAATTTCACCGTTTAATGCTTTCATTTCAAGCAATAAATCTTCAAATAATTTCGGAAAAAAAACGTTTAGTTTGAGATTTGGTGGACGGTATATTATGCAAACATTTACTGAAGAGTGATCGACAAAACACATTTTGATAACGCGCTCCAAACTGACTGGGAATTTAAAATAACTAGTTAAAGCCAGTTTTAATGAAAGCTGAAATGCCCCCACCGCTAGCGTTTACGCGGTTTGCACAAACAATATTGTCATAACCTTTTAAGTTAAAAATGCCAATAGTATCATTGTCCAAGAGCCATGTTTCAGTCAGCCCTATTAATGCAGGCTTGTTATCAAAGGATTCAATTAAAACTGATAATTGGTCACGATGGGCTTTTATGGATTGAACATTTGGGAAAAATGCTGTTCGCGTTGTTGCCAGTTCAGTCATATCTCGCAAAAGGTTTTTTCTCTAAAATAAAACAAAAGAGTTTTACGGCAAAAAACTGTAAATAGAGTTGAAATGCTTTTGCCACTAATCGAAATCATTTTCATTAGTATTATTTCCGTTTTTGACGAATTTTGACTGGAGAATCTCTTTGAAGTGATTCCACAAATTGCATCAGTTTGGCGGCATCCGATAGCCTACTGTACAATTCATCAATCAGTTGATTTCGTTCCACATTATTCAGGTTATTTCTCTGTCACGTTTCCTCACTGAAACAATAGGGAGGGCGAGAAAAGTTGTTTTGATTATTTTGTACCACTCGAGGGTTTTGATTTCTAACATCATTTGCCTGTCTTGACATCATTGGATTCTTATTTTTGAAAATGTGATCAGCATCCTTGATTTCAACTAAGTTGTGCCTTTGAAATCCACCATCTGCTTTCGAAAAGAAAACTTGAGGAGCACAATTATATGTAACTGTGTACATTCTCAAACCCCGAGAATAATCAAGAAGCTCTAAATCGCGCTGAGTAAGTCTCTCTGTTATATGCACTGGTTGCTTATTTACAGGGTGCAAAAAATCTTTCAATGAATTTTTTCTGCCATAAATTCTGTTTTTAATATCAAAGTAGACAAAATTCACTATAACCACACATTTTTGGTTTTGACTCACAGGGCCGAGGGCATGGCATACCTTCAGGTCGTAGCTGTTTACCTCCACGCCCATAACTTCGTTAAAAAAGGCCAGGACATCTTGGGTAAAATTTCCGGAACGTAAAGGTAAGTTTCTCAATTAGCCCTTGTAATAGGTCTTTCAATTTAGGATCTATTTTTTCTGTATCTTTTATTTCATCGAATAAAGTCTTGAGATTCGCCATTGAATAAGTGCGCGATGTTATAATTTCTTGGCAAGAAAAAAAGAGCAATTTAGAACCGACTGTTTCTCATTGAAGGTCACTTTCTTCATCAATTGCTTAGAGATAAACCAGAATTAATATGGTGCAATTTTTCTCTGATTTTCTCAACCAACTTTTTACTACAAAATTGGGTCATTTTGGCTTGTTTCAGTTAATCGAGAAACTAATTTAAGACGCTGAAACTACTTTGTTAATTGATGAGAATATTAAATCACAAGAAGCCTTTTCGCAGCCCAACAATGTTCCAGAAGGGATAAATCTCCAAAGTTTTGCGCAAATTGTTTAAAATTTATTTTTATGCAAAGATTTTGGGTTTTACATGGTAAAAATCACATTTCTTGACCATCACGCAAAAATAATTTCCTCTGTACAGGTTTTTGGAGATAAATCTTCAAGAACTTTGTTGAGCGGTATAAGAGGCTTCTTGTGATTTATATTTCTCATCAATTATTAAAATCGACCATGTAACGTTTTTGTGAGAAGGTCGTGGTAAAAATCCCCTTGAAACTTTTAATTTGGTATCTTTAAATAATCGTCGGGTTACTCGGGGCTCTGTGGCAAAAACTTTACCAAGCATGAAAACTAGAACACAAATAAAGCAGTGTTCATGGAAAAATGTGTCTCTTAAATGCTATAGTTTTTTGAAATCAAACGAGCGGATACCAGATAATCTAAACCAATTAACTGAGCATCAACTAAATGGGTATTTCAAAAACTTGTTTTCATTGTTTCTTAAAGATAATGGAGATCTTATAGATTTATTTTTTTGAATCATCAAGTCGGATATTATCTCGCAACTTCTGTCATAGGTTTTTTCAGGGTCATGCCTCGATAAGCTGGATAGCTTTTTGCATGATCCTTGGTGGCTTTGATTTGTACATGCGGTTTATGGTTAACCTGTCTGTATAATATTACTCTCCTAAATAAACTATTCTAAATAGTTTTTTGACCATCTTCGGATGTTAATGGACTAATTTGGCCGAAGCTTTCGTCTTATCTTCAGAATATGGAATTAGTTTTCAAGAAAAGTTTGTTTCTAAATCTTTCTCGTCTTCACAATGCAGACTAGTGAACATGCTGCTATTTTGCTTTTTAATTTAATACGTATACCTGAATTGATCTACTTAACTATAAGAAGAAGAAAGCATTTTGCTTTTAGGAAATGACTACTTGTCTCAATACCGTTTGACGGCATTTCATCGGCGCATCACCAACTGGCAAGAAGATTGTTACATCCCGCATTCTCATCTGATCCCAGCAGTCGCCAAAATTGTCACCAACAAGTTAGAACTCACAATGTCAGTCGATGACATGTCAACCATTCTAAACAAAGAAGTGTTCGAGGAATCTGCAAGCGATGAAAATGAACTAGCAATAAAGAACGCTTTGAAAAGTTTTTACCTGCTGAATACACCTTCAGAGTCGAAGAAAAATGAATTAGACGAATATTCGGGTAAATTGTTGAAAGCGATGAGGAAACATTCTAACTTCGACCCGATGTCAGAGCAAGTCTTAGTGCATCAATGCGTTCAATACACTAATGCTCTCGAAGATTTAAATTCACGATCAAAAAAAGGCTCTCGAAGTTTAAATTCGCCCTTAAAAAAACCTTTAGTTTTGATTTTTAGACCAATAAATTTGCGATTCGTGGGAATTTTGCGCAAACATCAGCAGGAAATACCTGGGAAAGACTCAGTCGACGAATATGCTGTTCATTCAGCGGAATCAGTTAAGCATCCTAATAAAGTAGAGGTGTCTTTTCCGCCCTTTGATTTCGACTTATTGGAGTTGACTGAAAGTAATGATACTACACTAGTTTCAGAGAAACTAAAAATTTTTCTGTGGGCGGTAACGGGTAAAAATTTATTCACTGTCATAAATGAAGAGAGCGAAGTGGGGAGAACGTCTGAACAGTCAGAAATGGAGAGAAAGTTTCTCAGTATCAAACCGAAATTTTCCATTGTCTCACTTGTCCTTTATTATTTGTATCGATGCGAAAATATTTTAAAGCTGGAAGATATCGATCTTTTCGTTACGATGTTTGTCATTTTGGATTCAGAATCAGCAACGAGAATGAATGATTCTGAATTGGATTCTGATCTGAAGGTAACGAAGAAAATTAGAGCACAACCGGATTACAAGGCAGTGCATCTAGCTACTGTTTTTAACTGGGGAGTTGAGGCGATAGGTAGAGTTGCATCAGTTTTTGGCCCATTTTTGCCATCTTCCTCATTCGCACACCATAACTTTTTTGACGGTATATTATTCCAGAAAATATTCATGGGCAAAATAATAATTGACAAGTCAAGCGAAAGTGAAGCAGCCAAAACAACAAGAGCGGCAATATTTGACTTCATGAAATTGGAATCTTGATTCGTAAGATGTAATAAAACTTGTATATATTCGAATAATGTTTTGAAAAGTTACAGTAATGATTTCATACTTAATATGAAGTTAACAGCTATGGTAAAAAAATTTTAAATAAAATATTATTCCAATTTACCACATTAATTTCTCTGCAATCTCTATAAATATATGGTCTATATATTGGTACATGGTTGATGAAATAACTTTTTTTCCAGTAATCAATTGCTTTTACACTCTATTGTATGGGATTCGTGTCCCGACTGTACGGCTGCCTTTGCACCCTATGTTCTGGGTTTATAATGTATTTGACTCTTCGATCAATTGTTAAAATAGTTTTTCATGTTGTAAATTTCATGTAAATTTGTAAATTGACAAGTTAAAAATTATCTTTCAAAATACCTATTGAGTTTTAAGGTTAGTTATACCAGTTGAACTGTGTATTTGAAGTTGGGTAAACTGATTTTCTCATTTTTTATATTTCAGATGTTTATGTTTAGTGCGTTAGTTTTCACTTGCGTTTCTTTAAATCTGTTCTCAGCTGAGACAACGAGAGATCCCTGCGAGTGAGTATAGTTATAAATTTTTGATTCAAAGGCCGCACAAATTGACCATTCTGAAATTTTGTACTATTAAGACAAGCGAGCTATTAATACTAGTGCTGTTTTTTGAAGCTTGCTGCATCGGCAATTTGATAGCATGAGTTTGATTTCCAATTAGTAATAAGTTAACATAGGTTGTGCTTTTATTCATCATATGAACCGAAAAAAGCTATTTGTTTCAAATAAATTACAATGAGAAAGGCTCGATTTTAGAAAGTTCCCGAATCAATATACCCTGCAATTTTTTTTTTGAAAATGCATAATTTATACAGATATTGGATTTACGGAATTTTACCGCCACTTTTGCTTCATCACATTGGCAATTTATGGAGAGGAACTTGAAAAATGGAGAGGAACTTTGTATTCGGATGTGTTATAGCTTTTCTTGTTTTCCAACCAGAATTAAGTACCACAAATAATCATCGGAATGGGTCAATTGATATATCATATTTAAGACCCCTCAGTCGTGATTCCGAACGACCTCTAAAAATTTTGAAAAATTATTTTCTGTCGAGAAAATCCCGTTTGAAAGTTTTTATTCTAATTTCGAGTAAATAAAGCGAGCCACCTACATTAGCTTTCTCTCTAATTTTTTTTACTGAAGTATATTTATTTTTTTGAATTTTTGTTACGCAATTTTGGGAATGAAAAGAATCAACAAAAGCTCATCAAAATATTTTCTGCCATTTTGTAAAAAAATTTGTTGTCCAATTGGTTTATTTTAGTTTTATTGTCGAATATACCAAAGCTCTAGTTTTTCCTTCCGATTCTTTTATCACACCACGCAGAAAAACGACACTAATTTGAAAAAAAACTTTGTTGTATTTATTTTAAGAATATGGTCGGAACATTCTGTGCTACTTGCACAGCAACTGGCTATCCTTGTTAGCATATGTAGCTGCTTTATTGGTAGTTAGTGTTAGTAAGTTTTAAGGTCCCGTGGAGCAATTGCGAGGAGAAGGGACTCTCTTTTTTAAGGCTTATTTTTAAGTTTTCTTTTCTGATTTCACTTTATAGAGCTGCATTTTTGTCGTTTTCTTGCTAATGTTTGCGAATCGCAGCTTCGCCTTTGTGTAAATGACTCTGTGCTTGAGTTTTCAGTGGATATTCCTGTAATACCTCCGTAAATGCTAAACTTTCTACAGCAGGTAGATATTGGGAACCGTTTTAAGCTTTTTCAATTAAGTAAAGGGACTTTGATATTAGTATGTCTTTCAGCTCCACCGAAAGTTTTCAGCAGCCTAGTTATAGATGAAAAATCATGTTTTGATACCTGAACTCTAAGTTTCTATCTGCATGATTTGCTTGTCTGAGAATTGTTACCGTTCGAAATTTGTCTGTAAATATAACTACTCCAATTTGATCAAAAAATTGATCAATAGACAAGAAGTTAATTGAGGACTTAATGAATTGTCGAAATAGTCAACTAAAGAAATGCTTTGATTCTGCATTGCATACGGGATCTATACATTTGCGATAACGAGTTTTTGATAAAAGTTTTTAATTAATCGGAAATTCGAGTGTATTCTCTGTTGTTTGCTCATGAAGACACCACTCGATATGCAGCTAACCGGCCTTTTTGGTGTTCTTCCAAGATTGGCTTTTTTAAAACATTTTTTTGAGTTATGTAAATAATAATCGAGTCTGTTCCCTTCTTGAAAACGAATTTTTGATTATGATTATCCTATCAGTTTTTTTTCGAGCTTTTTCTCGTTACTTTATTCGATCTAAAAGGTTTCGACTTTTATCACATGTAGTTTTTTTCGGCTCAACGTGTGTCTGCTCGGGATATATCTGCTTTGTCGTTCTATTATGATGCTCAATTAGCATTCAATTGATATGAAAATGTTCGGCATTTTTCAAATTAAAAAAGTTCGTTTTTCTTTCTGCTGCTTTTGTCCTATTTTCTGTCGGTTAGTTTACCATACTATATTTGTTGTAATGCAAGTGGTTAGAAGCTTCGCTTTGCCTGTGTGCTAAATTTTCAATTGATTCGGACTCAGGTTTACTCATGTTAAATTCATTTTTCTAATTAATGGCTGAGAAACAAAATTTTAAGAATCAACATTCTATCTGTTTCTCATATGTTATTTTGTGTTAAAGCTTCTTAGTGTATGGGTCTGGTGAAGTAGCCAATGGGATTGTGTACAAGGGCGCCCTATATTGGGCAGGCTGCTCTGATGGAAATACCATGGATTCAATTGACATACAACTGAAGGACGAGTGAGTAAAAAGAAACTGAATTAGGCGTGGCATAAATATGCAGCGCTTAATAAAGCTCATATGCCGCATGGTTCGGCTACATAGCCAGGTTAATTTGCGAAAAAGAGCTTCAATTTTGTTTCTCAAAAGTAAACGTGTGCTCTGAAACTGTCAAAAACTAGTTCTCAATTTCGGCTTTTGAATGTAAGATCTTGACATTTTAAGTCTTGAAAGGTTTAATTACTCCAAGAAAAAATCCAATGAATGTTTTAAAATAATTTTGGCTTTATAAAATGCATTAAAATTTTGATTTTAGCAACAATATGCTCTTTTTTTGCCATAATTTGGCTGTTTATTTTTGGACAGAATTCCGTCTTCTCCGTAGAAAACGGAGCAAAATTGTTAAAAGATGACCGCAGTCCGAATTGCAGAGTTTGGACATACCGCACCATCGATTTTTTGCCATACCTGATCTGAATGCGCTAAATCTCACCATTTAGAATAAGAGTAAGTGTTTCGTTCACTAGAAAACTGATGAAGCTGTAGAACTGTCAGGTTTGATCATATTGGTTCATTTCAGCATTTTTTCATTGATACTGTTCTTCGCGTTTCACAGCTCCTAATAGCTATCCAATCTCTTTGTGAAAAATTCATTCCTAAGCTCCCAATAAAAAAATAGGAAAAGTTGGATAACAGCTAAAATTAAAAATGAGATTAATAAGAAGAATAAATTGTACAATAAATACTTGAACAATAAGAGTGGTTGTAATCTTGATCAGTTCCAGGAACAACAAAAAAATATGTAAAGCTTGTCTCGAAAATCAAAAAATTCTTTCTATGAGAGAAGACTTGAAAGCAAGAGCCAAAAAAGTTCGAAAATTTGTTATAAAGTAATAGGTGAGATGAGAAAAAAGGAAGAACAAGTGAGTTCAAAACACAGCATTCCGAGTGCAGAAGAATTTAACGATGTTTTTATTGAAATTGGCCAGAAGCTAAGCGAAAGTAATACAACACCACAAAATTTTGAAAAATGTTGTAGAGAATGAAAAATAAGCCTGAAGATATAAAAACAGCCTTGATAGTTACAACCAAAGTAACAACCTAATAAAGAAACAAGTCCGGTTATATCTGAGCTACTGAATTGCTTTTTTAATCAACGTGTAGAGTTGTCAATACTATCCTTCAAATTTTAAGATTGCAAAAGTTCAACCAATTGATAAAAATGGGACATTGTCAGGTTGTGGTAACTACAGACCTATATCTATTGTACCAATTAAAGGGGAAAATTTCGAAAAAATTGTTAAATAATCACTTGAGAACTTTTCTGAATAAATATGATGAATTAACGGCGTGTCAATGCGGATTCCGAAATAATAAAAAAGCACACTTGATGCTATCTTTGAACTCAGTGAAGAATTAGTAGAGAACTTAAAAGATAATGTTGGCTTGGTGTGTACGCTGACAGATCTTACAAAAGCGTTCGACACAATTGATCAGGAAATCCGACTCAAAAAATGCGAATTATACGGCTTATGAGGTAAAGTTGTTTGTCTTTTGAGGTCGTACCTTGAAAATTGTAAACACTACGTTAGTTATAACAATTCATTATCAGACACTAAAGCAATCTACTATGGTGTACCACAAGGATTCGCCAAATGTCTACAGGCATAATAAAGTTGTACTGTTTGCTGATGACTGCGCATTGTATACAACAACGAAAACAGGAAATCAGCAGCAGGTGAACTCGCATTGTTGAAAAATGTTTTTTTTTGGAGAATAAGCTTACCATAAACAAGGATAAAACAGCCACCTTAGAATTTAACTACAAGAAGTTTTCTAATAATAGACCCCATAAGTACTTAGGTCTAATAATTGATAAAAAGTTAAGTTTCAAAACACACATCGATAAAACTTTGAAAAGGGCAGCCAAATCTTGCTCGATGATATAACAGCTCAGATATAATTTTAACATATCTACACTGCTCAAGATATACAAAACGTATGTTCAACCAATATATCAACAGAGTGTACTGATCTTTAGCAGAGCTAATAAGATAGACTTAAAAATTAGAAAGCCAGCAAAGACTCGTGTGGAGGAACTGTTTTAAAATTAAAAAGTGGGAAAGTCAAACATATTCGGGTTTAACATTAACTCTTTGCTTCGAGAGTTACATGTATATGAACTTTTTTAACTCATGGTTAAAATTATAAGACGATCTTGTTGAAATAAAAAATTTCATGAATACATAAGTGAACAGGAGACAACAGATACTATCAAAACAGGCAATACAAGAAAAAAAAAACTTCGCAGCTGAAATAAACTTACTACAAGAGCAAAAAAAGAAAATCGAAAGTAGTATTCGTATTTTGTATAATAAGTTCTTACAATTGGATAAAAGTATTCTTCTTGAAGCGTTAACAATTTTCAACGAATCTTTGGACTCGTTTTTTAAAACAGAATAAGAGACATTTATATTTGTGACAAGAACATTTTTTAAGTATGTTATGGTAAATTTCCATCCCTTTGTTATAGTATTTTTGCTCATCTTATTTTGATTGTTAGACAACACCAAAACAAACAGATTTTTGTGATATTTTAAGAAATTTTGCGGTCTTTTGTCTTTATGATCTTCGTTTAATAAATTAGACGAATAGATTTTGCTAATGGAGATGCCACCCGACAGGCTGAAGCCTTTTTGGTATTCTCCCAAGCCGAACTTTATTGAAAACGTACATTTTCATAGAAGATATGCTGATAAGTTTTAGCTTGAAAATAAAACTATTTTGTTTTCGTCAAATATAGAAGTGCTCCATGCCTGGTGAATAATCTCTTCTGACCAAAATTTCTTGTCTATTTATGGAATTTCTGGAGATGTTACAATAGGTGGTGATTTTGAGTATAGTGCATGCATTAAGTTTGAGAACTATAAAGCATAATATAGTCATTTCTTTTTCAATCATTTGTACATGCTACTAATATAGTTTTTTCTAAATACGTTACTCTGCGAGATGAATTATTATTCAAAATTTACACTTTTTTTGCCAAAAAGTTTGGCTTTTGAATTAAGTTCTAAATACTGTTCGTCGAAGTTTAACAAAAAGCAATCCTGCTATTTAACTTTAATCTGCGACCTATTGTAATAAATCACCGAATTTTTTTCTGAAAAGGATGGCCGGTGTTGTATTGTGTGTAGAGATGGAACTGTAAAGGCGGAGAAGTCAGTGGACTTGTCTTCAGTCTGGTCTCCCCCTCCACCGGGAACAGTTGGACTGACAGCAGGAGTCTATGTTCCCTTCACTCTGGACGTGCCCCTGGATGCGTGCAAGGAGGATGGGAGAACTGGACACGGAATGAGTCTGTGGGTGAGCAGCCAGACTGTGCCACAACTGGCCAAGAGTGTCTCCGTGGACTGCATGGACAATTCCAAAGTGTTTCTGGTGCAGATGAATAAGCCTCTCTACAAGCCAGGCGATAACAGTGAGTATCAATACTTATCACTTTTCAGCAGATTACAAATGCAATCAGCAGTAGAGTACCGTAATTATTTATCGTGTAAGATATAAGACGGATACTGAGATGAATGTATCTTATGGTAATAATTGTATGCAGCTCTAGTTTCATAGTGTTTGTTGAATCGCTATACATGAAAAATTTTAAACAAAAATTAAGTTAGTAAATGAAAATTAATCGCTTTTTTGTCTAATTGATTGCTTTTTTACACATGCGCAATTGCAATTATTGTTATATTACGAGTCTACTTTGTTTCAATTGAGCTCGCATAAAATAGTATTATTTTTGATTGTATTTTTGCTGCATAGTATTGGCACAGTGGTTAGTGCTTCTGTTCTAAAAGCCACTTTTGCACAGTGTAGGGCAGTCGTCTTGTGTGGTGGAATCCCTCATACGCGTAAGACCGAATGCGCGAAAATAAAAATCTGCCAATCAGATTTCAGTAATCTAAAATTTGGAAAGAAAGTAATCATTTCCAGGGACTGAATATTGATATTCGTCGAATATAAAAACGGATGTATGCAAAATTTTCAAATTGTCACTGACAGCCGCCGAATTGGAGCAAAGTTTATATTTCGTTAGGAAAGAAGCAAAATATTGCTTCATTTAATTCATTTTAATTGAATGGCAATTGCTTCTTTTTGAAAATTGACTTTCGGCTAATTTTGCTTTCGGTCTTTCGCTCACGAGTTTTTTCGCTCATTCGGTCCTTCGCGCATGAGAATAGCCCTTGTATTGGGTAGTCGTCTTAGATGATCAAGGACTGTATTTTCAAAACTAATGTTTTCTCTTGACCTTTACTTTTTTGACCTTGTTATGCTTGCTGAAATCGTGCTGAATAACTAAAATTCTATTCATTGAATGTGTATAGTTAAAGAATTTCGCTTTTGCTAATGTATTTTTTTGGCTTCATGGTTAGTCATGGCTAGCTATTTCAGTCAGTTTCCGAATTGTACATACTACCTTGCTTTTTGTATGCTTTTTGTATTTAGAACTTGTGGATCCTATGTAAGCGATACATAAAATTTTTTCAATAAGTTTTTTTGCCGAATAATTATGGTTGACTTTCAGCGTATTGGGTGTCCGCTTAAATTCTGTCGGCTTTTTTACAGAATAATTTGTTAAATTATATTGGCGGTGTTATTTTTAGATCGATTTGGAGGGACTCTTGAAAAAATGTATCAAATTGAAGAATCAGTTAACTTTTATTCTAGAATACTTTATTGTTCCGACCATGGAAAATTGGTAGGAACTTTGGATTCGGGTGTGTTTTAGTTTATTAAATTTTTTATTGTAAATTCACGCAAAATCAGCTACCACAAATAATCCTCGGTCATGTTTGAGTGATATATCATATTAAAGCCCTTTCAGTCGTGATTCGAACGACCTTAAAAAATGTTGAAAGTTTTTTCTCAATGTCGAGAAAAGCCGGTTTGAAGTTTTTGATTTTTGGTCTAATTTTGAGCTAATTAGTAAGATAGTTAGTAATTGCAATAGCTTATTCAAGATTCATTTAAGCCGTGAAAACCTAGTTTTTTAGCCGAGTTTTTTAGCGCAGTTTTTGGAATCAAAAACTTGAAAATTCAAAAAATTTCCGCAAACTGTTTTCCAATTGAATTATTTTACTATGAATCTCAAGTATGCCTGAGTTCTTTTTTTTTGTTAAAAGTTTTTTAATCACAACATTTAAAACAAATGACACCAATTTGAGAAAACATTTTTGTATGTTAATAAGACTGTGGTCAGAACATTCTGTGCTACTTGCACAGTAACCGGATATCCTTGTTTTTCTTTCGAAATCGTTTTTGCTTCTTTAATCTTATACTAGATGTATCGCAAGTGAAGCTTAGCTCAGCTTCATCTAGCTGTAAAACTGCTCGTTGGCGTCTTGTTGTTTGTCATTGCTGGGTGCAGCTTCGTATATGTAAATTCGGTCAGACTTTTTATTTCTTTGTTCAACTAAAAGTCTGGGAGTTTTTTGGTTAATTTCTGTCTTGGGTCTGATGTAACCTAACATGCGTGACCGAGTGGATAAGGTTCACATATCTCAAATTGAGGGACACAAGTTGAAATCGAACTTTGATCGCGTTTGGATGGGTACCAGTGTCATCCGCCTCCTCAAGCTGGGACCGGCTACAGATAATTGGATGACATCCCCCTCCCCCACCCATGCTTGGTCCTATGTTGAGTAGAACCTGAGCAATGATTTAACCAGATACACTTGAGCTTTCGAAACAGCTGCTTTGCGTTGCTCTAGCGAATGAATATATTTTCTTCATGTTTTGCCCAGATGTAATTACAAATTGTTAAAAAGTTTTCCATTAATACGTTTCTTTTCTACATTTTTTCCTGGTTACTACTGTAACGAAAGCACTAGAATCAGCTGAAGTTATATAGCCTTATATAGGTAGTTAAGATTCATAGAAGGAAGTAGAAGCACTTATTAGTAGTCTGGTTTTTCCTGGTTTCTTCATTCAGGAGAAACTCATGAAAATTGCTAGGCTCAAATGATTTTTTTCGCGCTTTGATTTTTTGTGTTAGTACAACCAGTTGCGCAACATTTTCTTCTTAAAACTAATTTGTGAACGGAGCAGCTAGTTGCCCGCTAAATATCCCTGCTCTTCAAAACAGACATAATTTGAGCATATTTGCATTTTGAATTCCCGTTGAATACACGCATTGTGTTATTCGATATTTTATCTTGATCTTATTTTCTGTCTGCTATTTCTGCATGTTTGGCTTGCGTTGTGTCGCAAGCTGTGCAAAGCTCTACTTCGCCTTTGTGTTTTTAATTGTTTTGACCAATGGAACTGGTTTAAAACTATGTCTTCGGGTGTGTTTACTTTTATTTTTTTTTTGTTTTCCCCATGCTAAATCAGATACCACAAATAATCAAGAGATTGGGCCGAGTAAGGAATCATATTAGAAGACTCTGAATTGTGCTTCAAACAACTCTAAAAAACTTTCAAGAAGTTTTATCAGTGACAAGAAAAACCGGCTTGAAGTTTTTTTTCCCAGGTCTGCTTACTACGTTAGGTCTGGCTTCTGTTGGGCTTCCGTTTATGAATGTGTTGGGATCTTTTTGTGTTATTTGGTCAGCCACTGGCTACTCTTATTCCATTTAAAATCGTTTGCTAAATGGAAGTCAGATCACGCTCTCATATAACAAAAGGGCACATGGTGCATAAAATGCGATTGATTTTAAGATTCGAAGGTTTTGTGTTGGTTTTCTTACTGTATATTTGATTTTTTTAAAGGGAGGTGTAATTGAGCGGTGATTATTTTGTGTTGGTTCTGGTTCTAATTTGTCTAGTATGTAGGAATTGCCTTTATAGAATAGCGAACTGCATTTATTTGATCATATGTTTTAAATGACAAGTGATGCACAACTCTGCTTAGTGATGGTGTTAAGGTAATACGAGGCTGTGTCGCAAGTGGCGTATTGAGTAACTCAAGAACAGTAGCCGGTATTTGGATTCTGCATCTATGCTGAACTTTTATCTTTTAAAAGCAGATTTCTTTATAAGCGATGTGCATGTTTAAGAGCTGCTGGCTAAGCGCGATGGCTTTGTGAGTGTTTGGGTGTTCTGGTTTGTTATGTATTTGAGTGTGAATGTTTGTTTGTTTCAGTTGAGGCTCAGGTGTTGTGTATAGAGCGGGACAACACCCACAGCTGTGAGTCTGTCAACATCTCCATCTCCATCCTCACTCCGTCCTCTCTCACCATGAATGTGCAACACTTCACCATCGGTAAGACAGCAGCAACAACAACAACACACCACCACACTTCGGGTCATAGTCATAAAACTTATGATTGATACCAGTGATCTCATGATTTCCCGGTGGCTGTCGTTATCAGTGTCAAGTTAAAGCATTCCGAGCGCTCTATTCACACGTTCAGTCAGAATGCATCGGAAGGCGTTCTTTTATGTCAATATACTGAATACTGCATCTTAATTTCACGCAAATTGCTCGTTTTTGTTTCTATTAAGAAAATCTTTTTGATTAGTTTGTCATTCTTTTATATACCGTTTCTCTTTCGCGCAAACAATTATCAATCTACTACCTATATCGAAGCAAACCTTATAAAAATCCAACAAGATTTCGTTTTTCTTGTACGCGCATCAACTGTCTAGTTTTGAATGCTTTTTTGGTAAGGAAAAACTTAAGAAGTAAAATGAAAAGTTAATTAAAACGGTAAAACGAAGCAATTAGAAGGAAAAAGCTGAAAAGGGCCTTGATAAATGTTCATTTTTGAACTGGAAAAGATTAAAGGTTGTTAATGAAGGTTGCTGATGTCATTATAAAATGTAGTCAAAATTATTTGTAACCATGGCAATTATAACTCAACTGCTTTTGTCTAAAAAGCAAGCAATTGGTATCTGCCAATATATGCTCTTCGCTTCTGTTAGAATAAACTATTATCGAGTTTTCATGCAGAAATAAAGCAATCACTGATCACCGATCCTTTTTAACGGCCAATATTTGCTGGAACTTGATTTGAAAGCTCGAAGCAGGCCGACAATTTGTTTTCGAGCTCCTTAAAAACTCTATAAAAGAAGTCCCTAAAATTTGCGTGAGCTCTTACAAAAGTTTTGATATTGGTCAACCAAAAATGGATGGCATCAAAATAGTACTAAACGGAAACCCTTTGGAACATTTTGGCGAACAGATTTGAGGCCACAACTATAATGATGATTCAATGAGGCGCAAATGTTTCATTTTGAAGTGTATCTCTGGTTTGTTGTGTAGGTAGCAACCGGGACCACGGACAGGTGCCAGTGGCCGAGTACAGCTTCCAGCTGGCGGAGAAGCCAGTGATGGGAGAGTACTGTCTCCGGGTCGAGTCCCAGGTGGCTGCTCCTCTCCAGAAGTGTTTCCAGATTGAGGAGTATGTGCTGCCCTCCTTCCAGGCCTCCATCCAGTTCGACCAGGGTGAGTCAAACCAACACACATCCCATCCAATAGCTCACTTTTTTGAGTGTAAAAGAGCGAAGTGATGTCACTTATGTAGATAGGTCATGATGATGTTTTTCGTTTCTCAGGAAAGTGTTTTGTTCACGCTCAAGTTTGAGTTTTCGCAGTTTGGCTTTTGATATTGTATTTCTTTTAAATTTCATTTCATATCCTTTGTTAATAGTAAGGCAAATGCCACAATCTAACAGCAAAGTTTATGTTCACTAAGAACATGATCGATTTCAATTTTACAAAGTGGATTTTTTTTAAATAAATTTGGCTGCTGAATAAAAAAAATACCTATTGATCCAGTGATCCACCTCACACGAATATCAATTTTATGGTGTAGCGACGCGTTTTACTAGATAAATTATGAAGCTCAAATATGTTTGTCATGGGCTCTTTTCCAGTTTCACCCTAACCCCCCCCCCCCCCACCCCCTCGTAAAAATTACAAAAGGTTGCTCAAAGTTTGTTCGCACGGCATTTTGTATGTCAGAAAAAGTCAAAGTGGGGAACTGGAAAAGAAGCTTGTCATGTCCTGATTAGTCCATGTGTCAATTTTCATAAATTTCAAGAAATGTGAACAAAAATTTTACATGTAAAAATTTGCAGGTGGGTAAGGGAAAGGAAAAAAGCCCAAAAAGTGTCAATCATAAATTGTTTATGAAAACCGAAGGCTTAAGACATATGAAAATCGAAGGATTAGGGCAAACGCTGCTATCGGAAAAAGCAAAATTATAAAGGTCATGAAAACATGAACGACTTCTACTTTCAAAATTGACTTCATTCTTTTTTTGAATTCTCCTCGGAGTAAAAAATTACCCTTTGATCCAATATTTTTTCCGAATGGAATATCTAAGAAAAAAGCGCCGGTCCACAACAATTCTTGAATCTCAACCAGGCTTAACGTGATATGTTTTTTCTCCGAAGTTTGAAACACGTTCAAACATTTTCAGTTTTTTTCTTTGTTCTCTTACACTTTTTGCATTACCTGTTTGTGTTTCATTGTTTGTCGTACATTCAGTCATGTGCCATTCGTGTAAGTTTTCAAGTTTTGAAGACGAAAGTGAAAGTTCATTTTATAAACTAGTGTTTTTCAGGGAAAAAATCTTAAAGGCGAGGACACGAGGTTTTCAATCTTCAGGTTGGAATTTGCCTTCATTTAATAAAAGAACCGAACTGCAAAAGAAATAAATCAAAAGTCAAACCGCGAATTATCAAATTTGAGCTTGAACATATTTTAAGACTTCCGGGAAAAAAACGGGAAAAAAAATTACAATCTATACAATTTGCAATCTATACAAAAGTCTTCACTATGTCATTGACTCTTAAAGCCCAAATGGCGGAAAAAAGTGAATGCTTTTTGGCCTCCGAAGTTGATATGATTTTTCGATTATTCAGGGGAGCAAAAAACGTAACTGATTGATCCAGTTTTCTCTCAGTAGGTTAATTTTGTCATTTTTTTGTCACAAAATATTTTTGAAGTTCAAAAAGTATTCAGGTGATTTTTTTTTTCGAGCTGGATAAAATGTAACAGGCAGTTTTTGTTTCCTTGATTTTAGGAACACGCATCGAACTGTCTGTTGGCGGTTTTAGATTTCAAGCGGAGGAAAGGTTAAAGTACTGACTTTTGCAAATCTGAATATCAGAATCGACTTCATAAACCAATAAATGTCAACTCAGTATTTGATATTTGTTTGGTCTGAGAAGTTTTGTCTGATGGCTTAAAGGTTAATGAACGTAGTGAAGACTTATATAGGCCTTGATTTTTGTGTTAGTTTTTTTTTTCAAGAAAATTTATTTCAATTTAGATCATTTCCTTTGTTGAAAGGAAGGCTAACTCCACTATCGAACAGCAAAATGGTGAAGGTCACAAAAAGGTGATTGACTCCTAGCTTTGAAAATGGATTTCAACTTTCAGATTCTCCACCGGAATCAAAGTTTTACGCATTGATCCGTAAACAAATTTTCTCACAATTTTGCTACTCAATTTCTTGCTCATTTTCTCAGACATGCTCAGTTTTTTTGAGGTAGTAAATGATTTGTTCAAATATATTTTTTTGAAAATTTTTTAATTTTTTGAGACTTTAGGTGTAGGTGTTCTTGCTATCTTAAGTAACTGTTTTCTATAATATTTGCAAAAACGATTTTTTAAAATTTTTTTTGCGTACGATTTCTACAGAATTCATTCAAGGTTTTCACTTTTCGTTTGAGAAAGTGGTGCGCTCAGCTTCGCATCTGTGTGATAGTTTATTGCAAAGCCAAACTATTTGAGAAAAGGAGGTTAAATTTGACTATTTGTGAAAAGATTTATCTGGCAGAATATTGTAGTTACGAAAACTATCTTAGTACCATGTACAAATGACTGAAAATCAAAAGAAAATATTCTGTATCATAGTTTTCAAGTTAAATAGATGCACTATTTTAGTAATTCTCAAAGTTGCCACCAGTGGTATTATTATTCGGTAATTAATTTGTTTTTCATGTAAGTTGCCTGGAGAAAAAAAGCTTAAACATAAAATACACGAATGTTTTAATCGTAAAAACATGTTTGTTTGTTGGAAACAGAAAAAAAAAACATTTTAACACCATTCAGTTTTCAGTTTTCGACTATGAATTTGTACCTGTCGTGTGTTTTTTGTTTTGGAAAATGGGGAAAACAATTGAAAATAGTTTCAAACATTCAGTCATCCATGTCGGGTTACTTCTGTCTGAAGCTACTTTAATTTTTGAATTTTGAAAAGTTCATTTGTGTCAGTAAATAGTTCGATCGCAGTGTAATTATGGCTCTTTTTGCTTCCAGTGTCATTTCAGTGTCGTAACTTTTTTTGTAATATTTGATGTATAGTGTCGGTATAGAATCCATTGAGAAGCTTATCTATGCTGATACTGTGTTGCTACGTTGTGTGTGTTTTAGTGGCAGTGGTGTTGGAGAAGTTGGCGGATGTGAGTGGAGTGTTGAGTGCAGAGTACACTTATGGACAGCCAGTGCAGCAGCCACACTTTCTCATGCAATGCTGGCTTGGAGGGGCGGGACAGGTGCAAGTGGGCAGAGACACAGAGTACCCTGTTAGTTGAAGACAACACAACACATTTTATCATCTGGCTCGATACAGCCAGCCCTTGCGATCTCGCCCCGACACTATTATTTAAATTGTTAACTGTTAACTTGTAGGTCACCAAATTCAAGGGCTAAAAAGAAGTATTATCTGGTTTTGAAGTTATGATAATCACATCAATTACTACTGACCGTTTTTTCGACGTTGTCCTTGCTGAAGTTGAAATTTCAATGTTCGTATTTTATTGAAGGAATATGTTGTTCACGCAGGATAAGAATGGCAACTACAACTTCATAATCCCTGTCGCGGACATTGAGCGGGCGAAGAGTGAGCTCGCTGGCTCTCCCTACTGGAACACTAGACCAGACAGTCTTCTGTGCTCAGTTGTGGCCAACGAAGTGAAGGACTCTGAGTTGCCGACCCAACAGGCACAAGCCACTCTGCCTATCGAACCCAAAGAGGTATGTATCTATATACAGTCAGCATTCATGTATCGTAAAAGAAACATCAGCACATCCAAATGTCAAACAAACTTAGAACCTCCATTATAAAATAAGATTTTCAAGATTGCATTGGAGTTTGTATTGCAGATCATCGTCGAGTGCTGCGACTCGTTCTCCTGCCCGGAAGTGGTCAGACCAGGGAATTTCTCTTTCTGTGTAAGTTCACTACTCAATCTGGTTTTTTTTTTACATTTTACCTACCATTTTTCGACATTTCGCCTTGAAAAAAAATCAAATAATGAACAATAAATTAATTGGCACTACAAAAGGACCGTAATGTTTGAAGTCTTGCAAGTTCTTGATATGTAAAATTCGGCTCTTTTCCACTCCCCTTACCGTTCTAAATTTCAATTTTTTAAATTTTTTAGAGGTTATTACGTCTGAATGTATGATGTAATGTGTAATGTATCAAGGACAATTCTGTTCACAGTTGTCAGTTTGTTCATCATGCTAATTTTCTTTGCATTATGACAATATGAAAGAAGCTTTTCAAAACTTAGTTAAAAGGGGAAACGAGCCATAAATTCTTCTTCTGTGGGTGTAGGTGAAAGTTCGATATGCTACGGGGGTGCATCATGGGGAGGCACTGGACTCTGGACTGCTTCTGAGCACATCGTTCTCTCCATGTGCCACGCCTGATGCTCAGACCAGTCAGCTGAGAGGCAGCCAAGTGGTTGTGGGCGAGAGAGTGGAGCTGAAACTGACTGCTTACAACAAAAATGACTCTTGTTCTCGGGTGAGTTGATAGTCGTGGAAGATCGACTAATGCGTAGAAAACGTGCAAGATTGTTCGAGACATTTTTGTAAAAATACAAATAAGAAAGAATGTTCTCGGTTGGATTGTTGCATGATTTGGGATAAATCCAGGGTTTGGGGTTTCAGTTCATATAAGAGTAGTTTCTGTTCATATTATCAGTATGCTCATCAATCATCACAGTGTGTATTTTCGACCGGATAGATTGATTCATTAGTCAAATGCGGAAACTCTAGAATGCTTTTTAGATTGTGCAGGGAATTATTTTTTGAAGCTTTGTTGTCGTTGCAGTGGGATAGTTCCAACAACTTCAATGCTGCTGTTCTGAGGGCATCGAAAGGAGGCCATGTATCCGACAGTTTCTCAGTGGACGTGGGCTTGTTCACTTCTACCATGGAGGTGTTTCTCACAGTGTCCATCTGTGATGAGCAAGAGGGATCCTCCTACTCCAAGGGCGACGAAGTCTGTCTCCTCGCCCACATACACCCAGCTGTGGCCGCCGCACAAGTCAACAGCATGCTGCTCATCCTCAAGTCCAGAGGTAGGCCTAGTTATGAAGACGATGATGATGATGATGTTAAGGTTCTTCAAAGAGTGGGTGCTATTCAAAATTAAGCAATTTAAACATTTTTTAAGGCGCAAATTGCAAGGCAATGTACTTCAAGTTTTGACATCTCTGTAAGAAAATAAGACAAGGCATTTATATCTACTTAATTGGCACTTCTTGGTAATCTTACTATTCAAAATTCATTCGTATCCACAGTCATGTACATCTACTTGTCCGTGCTATTAAACGCTTCTTGAGCAAGAATCCTCTTGAAAGGGCCAAAAAAGAGTGCATTGTCTTTGAACGTTGCAGGGGTGGTGCGAGAGACAAGAGTGGAGACTGTCTCTTCATTCCCTCACAAGGTGCATGTGACTGTGTCAGCTGACATGAGTCCCAACTTCGTTGCTCTACTCTCGGCCCACTCCAGCAACCAGACCATGACGGAGGTCATGCCAGCCTCCATCACTGTGCCGGTGCAGAGGGGAGAAAACATGTTCGAAAACAGAGTCAGTCGTCACTCACTTGACTAAAATATTCTAAAAATATTCATGCATTTGAAACAACTCTTGATGTATTGATAGCAATCTGACCCCATTATGGTTTCTGGTTAGGTATCACTGTCAGCTGTAGCGCCAGACGGGAGAGACCACTTCTTGCCGGGGGAGAATGCATCTGTGGTGGTGCAGATGGGCTCAGATGACTCCGTGGCGGTTCTGATTGGTTTGGACAAGAAGGTCATCGCTCTAGGTGGAAGACACAACATCATTAGCCTCGACACTGTTAGTCTTTTTTTCAACGTTTTTTTTTCTTTCCGGTTATCTACCTCGTGCATATTGACTCTTTTTGTTGGAGTCGTTGAGCTGAGTTGCTATGTGTGAATTGCATTTTGCGTTTGTTTCGAGGTCGTGGAGGCACTGGCCGAGGAGGATCTGTCGCGTGCGGATGATGATAATGATTTTGGCGGTGGGTTCATCGTTTTCTGCTGGTTCCCTTTGCCCTCGAGGTCTGCGAACGCACAAAGCACTATTGCTGTAAGTAGAGAGTAGTAATCGTTACTATAATCGCTTCAAAGTTGATAGATGGTAATTTTAAACCAAAATGATTTCGCTATTTTACCAAAATCAACTCGAAGGTACCACTCAGTTGCCCGAAATTGCGAAAAAATTGTTGCCGGAACCATTAATTGAAGTCTATCTATTCCGAGTTTTAAAAGTGACATTGCGTCGTCAACGCTACACTGATACCAATTTCCAGAAATAGCAAATCTCTAAGACTCTTAGATGAATTGGCAGAAACACGGGGCGCCAAAAATAAGGTTGAACGCTACAAATATTTGCTAAAATAAACTAGAAATTTCGCCTTTATTTTGGTTGGTGGTATTTTGGTGTAATTTGGCTCGGCTATTTTTTGAGTTTCTTATCGAATCAGATGTACGAAAATTCAACATTTATATCACACTCAACAACTTAGGAACTGTCTTTGAGGTAGTTAAAGTCGGTAGAAAAAAACACCCTTTGAGGTAGTTAAAGTCGGTAGAAAAAAAACAACCTTTAGGGGGGAGAGGTAAGGGGGGAGCTCGGAAGAATAAGATATGTATATTGATGGATGCTGTTGTTGATAGCATTAGTATGAAAGCAGGTTTAAGTAACTTTTGATTCAGGATGCTGGCTTCGTATACATCTCGGCAGGAAAGGTCACTGTACCCGGAGAGGAGTTTGAATATGCCTACGCCTACCCAAGTGAGTAGAAATAACAATTAGAAGAGTTTTTTGCCTCGTTCAGATTTGTTAGATTTTACTCGGGAGGGGGAGGGATTTAGATTTGATCTGGTACGTGAAGTTAAGCAGCGGAATGTTCTTCAGTGTTTCATGCCGAGATGAAATTTGATGACAGACGTATTGCTTTTCGTCGGGGGCCTATTGCTCTCAATTATGCGGCAACTATTCCAGTGGCGATGGAGCTTTCCGATAAAATCAAGTCTAAGACGTCCCCCATTGCGTCTCCCAGGAAACACTTCCGGGAAAATATCATGTTTGCCACCATGTCTATTAAGTGCGTTTCTCATTTACACTAAAGCTTCCTTCAAACTGTCGCTTGTGGCTTAGGCTTAGTTTACTAGTAAAAAACGGAATGCTTCTTGACTGGCTTCTAGTAAATGTATTTTAGCTTACTTGATTTGATTCAGTAGGTTTTACATCTCCAGAAATTTATTCGCACTGCAGATTCTGCAAATGACGAATGATATTTAGGGCATTAGTTTAAAAACCTAGTAAGGAATATCAAAGGTTTCTTCCTTTGCAACAGTGTACGAAATGGCCTTCGCTGCTGGAGCCGCTCCCGATGGAGCAGTTTTCAGGGGAGACGCGAATGCCGACGATGAGTCGAACGTGATGCTGAAAGGGAACGAGGACGACTCCTCCTCCACCACTCGGAGTGACTTCCGGGAGGTGGTGTTGTTCTCGGTGCTGCACAGGTGTGCCCCCTAAATACCACAACTAGTAATAGTATTAATGTGATTGGCGACTGTAGACTAGCTCTGCCTGTTTGTTTTCCTCCCGTTACATTTACAACTGCGCCCTCTCTTCACTCGCACTTAAACGTCATTTAAGGTCATTCAAATTAAACGTCATTTCAGGGGTTTAGTCTCAAAGTTTTCATTGAACATTTTGGACAACATTCACTTCGAATTTCAGCAAAATGTTACACCGACCGATGGCAAATGATCCGAGCTGCCCTCTAGAAACTATCAACTTTTGATTTCAAGGACTTACCAGTTTATGCTTCCGATTTTGAAGATGACAATCTGCACCAAAGCGTGAGATTTTTTCTTGAAAGCGATGATAAGTTGTATGAATATGAAGTTACAACTAAAAAAAGAAAGGAAACGTGTTGAATGAGTCTGATTACACAAGCAAAGCTTGTGTTGTAGTATGAACTCTCTTTTTTTCCAACCTAATTCGTAAATATTGTTGAGATGCAAATATTATTGCGACAAAATGTGTTCATTTGACCAATAACCAGCTATTAAGTACAGCCAATGCAAAGGATATTAACACAGAATATTATTACAGAAGCATAGCAAATATTGTTGCGATGCAATTGTTGCGACAAAGTGTGTTCATTTTGATCCACCTATTAAGTACAGCGAATGCTAAGGATATTAACACAGACTATTATATTACTAATAGCACTTTAGCTTCAAAGCATCATGGAGCTGTAGCGTAGAGGTATGGAAGGAGACCAGCAGCAAAAAAAGAGGGTTCGAAACTGGGCAGGGTGGGATGTTTTTAATGAATTTTTTCATATGCTAGTTACAATGCGTCCGCTCTATAAATTAGGGCATGTTAGTTGGTAAATTTCTTCTTTCAAATTGACTGCTAATGCGTCATAATTGGCTTGCGTCACTTGGCAATTATGTAGACTCATAATTGGCGTGCGCCATTGAAGAAATTTCGTTGACTCAAAGTTTTACTCTTTCAGTTTTTCCCAGAAGCGTTATTGGTCATATTTTTGCTTGTGTATGCGAAGTGCAACTTCGCCTCTGTGTAGTTTTTGAAACTCAGAACTACTGAAACTTTTCATACTGATGGTAAAATTTAATGCAGATAGTGAAAACTGGCCTTTTCAAACTGTAAATAAACTGGTAAGACCTTGTAAGTAAAAATTTATATTTAAGAATAATGAACATAATGAAGTTTCTTATATAGGTCTTGCTGATTCTTTTTTCAAGAAAAGTCTTAAAAGTCTCTAATAACTACAGATGTGCATTCATACATATTGACGCATTTATGAGTGAATTTAGGAAACTATGCGCTTTTTGAGTTCAATTTACTTTCATCTGCTGAAAGTGACTTAAATAGCACTCTCCGAAAACGAACGTGGAAATGGCGCGAAAAAACGTGAGCGGTTTCTAGTTTCGAAAGTGGAATATATTTTTTAGATTTCCAGCGGAATAAAAACTACCGATTGATCCAGTTTTCTCTAGTTGGGCTCATGATATCAAAAAAGCGCCTATCATAATTCGTTCTAGAATTTCAAATCTGAATCTGCTATCTGCTTTATTTTTGGATAGTGTTCAATCTTCTATGTACTAGAAAGCTTCCGTGGCTGAATGTGTGACTCTTAATCTCTCCTTTTTCTTTGATGTTCGAACTGCTCAAGAAAGTCAATGTTTTTTCTTATGTTTACTTGCGTTTATCACTCTTTTCCGATCTTCGATTGGCTATGGTTTTTAAATTGCAGCTCGGATCATCCGCTGTCGGACGTTGTGAAAACATTTAAAAAGTAAATTTCCGATTTAAAGTTTAATTTTTTTCACTAGTGTTTTTAATGTGGATAACTTGAGCTGGGATGAAAACAAAATTACTTAGCATGCACTTCATTGTTGATTAAAGTGAAATTTTAGTTAGTCAAGCTTTTTTGTATTTTGACTGCGCTCAGTTTCATCGTGAAGATTGGTTAATATTTGATTCACTTAAGTGGATTGAATTTTGATTTCTCATTACCCGTGCGATAAGCAAGGGTATTGCAATCAGGTACTAGTTTTTTTTGGTAAATAACTTTGTTTACAGGACTCTTTTCATCTGGATTTCCTGGAAGCCTGTTATCATCAAATTTACCGCTGCAGATATACTGTGTGTCCTATTTACACTAGCGTCAGCTTAGTTTGTTATCATGAACATTCTTTTTTTTCTAATCTAACTGGCAAATAAGTGTTCATTAAAATTCTTCACTTATTTGAAAAATCTCAGTGTAGCATTGAAAGTTGCATAGCATCTGCTATCGGCTTTACTTTTGGATAGTGTTCAATCTTCTATGTACTAGAAAGCTTCCGTGGCGGAATGTGTGACTCTTAATCTTAAGGTCACAGGTTCGAATCTATGTGTGGCCGAATTTTAGCTAATGCGAGGCTTATTTACACTTTTTTATTATAGTTTGTAAATTCGATTTTTGTCGTGTTCTCGCTAGTGTTTGCGAAGCAGGGCTTGGCTTCTGTGTCGAAATTATTTCTCCTATTAGGAATTGTCTAGTTGGTTATAATTCTACCATCTCGATTTATTACATTTTTTTTTTCGACTAAGAATTTTTGTTCTATATTATATCGGTTTTTTGACCTCATATTGCGTCAAATTGTTCGACGAGCGAAAACGACTTTTTGTGTGCATGTGTTTTTGAGGGTGAGGGCGACTTACTAATTTTTTTTAACTTCAATTTTTTTGAATTTTTCTTCGGCTTTTTTTCCTTTGTTTTTCCGACTATATAATATCAGCGAATTTGCCTAATTTTGCGCTGTTTGATGAGCAAAACAATTTTTGTATATGTGTTTGTAAATTTTGAGGCTGAGCTGTACTTCATAACTTTTTATCAGTTTTAAATTTTTTTGAATTTTTTTCGTCTTTTCGTTTTTAATTTTCCTTTTTTTACTTGATAAATTTCTTCCTGAATACTATATTGGATGAATGGCCTCATATTGCGTCGTTCGAACACATGTGTTTTTTTGTCTTTGAGGGTGAGGGGAACGTGAGAGCTTTTTATTAGTCCTAATTTTAACTGAATCTTTTTCGGCTCTTTTGTTTTTTTTTCTTTTTTCGACTTATTAGGTTTTGGCCTATATTATATCGACGGAGCGATCTCATATTGTTTCATTTGATGCGCGAATAAAGGTTGATGCGCGTGTTTGAGGGTGAGAGAGACTTCAAAAAAATCTTCGGCTTATAGGGTTTCTGCTAAGGTTTTTTCGGCTTTGTTACCGCCTGATAACTTTGCTTTCGATGCTTATTTTTCATTCTATTGTCATGGCACGTTTTTGTTTCAAATATAGCCTCATTTTCTTCGATAGATATATTTTTTTGAAATTTTACGCTTGCGATTAGCAAGCGTTATAAAACCGGATTATAGACTTCTTTTCTGTGACCTCTGTGTGAAAATTCCTAATGTTTTTCCACATTACTCTAATTTATCAAATTGAAGCTCGTTTTTAAAAATTAAATGGAGTGGTAATTCCCATTAAAGTCACAGACGAAGGTGAATAAAAGGTTGGTCAAATTGATTTATTCTGAAATTGGTTTAGTGTTTTCGAAGTTGACAATGCAAAAGTTAATGCGTTAATCAAGCAGCATATCTGGTAATATCCGCTTTGAGAAAGAGCTATATATGCTACCTGATATCTGAGAATAAAGCAAATATGAAAGTGAAAACAAGACGCGGCGCCAAAGTGGGTGTCTCTAATGGCATATCAAATTGTTTGAAATATGGCTAAAATTTTTTTGTTAATTTTGGCCTGACTGTTTTGATTGGCGAGAAGCGCTTGTGATGAAAGATTCTAGTTTTTTTTGCTTAATTTTCATGATTCAATTTGTTTTTCATTTTGTTTTGATTAACTGACATCTTTTCATTTTCTTTGGTATTGGAACCTAATCCAAACTACATTTTATTATTTATTACTTAGACATTTAATCACTGTAAAGTATTTAATATTAACCAATCACAATCCATCTAACTAACTACCCACTTATTTGTAAGTGCTGAAATTACTTGTAATTTCAGCACCAGAGAGATTTGAATTTAACTTAGAAAATAGTTGACTCTCCCGAGTACTTCAGCAGCCGCAACAATACCAGTATACTCTAGATCTGTTGAGCCTAGCAGAGACTAGTTAAACACCCTGAGACTAGTAGTAATAAGAGTAAGATTAGGATCGGTATTAGACTAAGAAGTTGCACGAATCTATCCGGCTGAAAATAAGATAGCGTGACGAGCAGACGGTGTACCCTATCCGAAATTACTCTATGAGCTAGACCTCCATACCTAACTCAGTATATGGTTGTAATTAAACGTCAATGAACGCCCTGAAGACACGTATATAGGTCGGGTTTAATTTTTTTTCGCTTTTTCTTTAAATGCGGTAATAAGTACAGAAGTGTGGTCATGCATTTTATTGCACTTATGTATACTAGCTTTTTTTGAGTTTGGTTCAAATTCATTTGCTGAAGTAAGGTCCACTATTTAGCTACGACAGTGCAAATAGCGCGAAAAAATGTGAATGAGTTTAA